CGCGGGCCCGCTCGTGCGGAGGGCAGACGCCCGCGCCCTCGCCGACCTCTGCGGGGGGCCCAGACGAGCGCGCGTGCACTCGCACCTCTGTGGTCTTCGAGCCGAAGCCGCAATGAGTAACGTGTGGACACGGCAATGCCGATGATGCCCGCCTGCCCCGGCATGGGCCACTCCGTGACTGTGACATGAGTGAGCTAGTGTGTGGAGTGGACACGCTTCTAACCTGTATGTATTTTGGGGACTAAGGGGTAACTGGTCCCCCCTCCTATACTTCTGAGTGACGAGGTGCAGCACCTGATCCCTGCTGGTGTACTCGGCGCCAGCCTGGTTCGGATGTACCAGGCCGCAGAGCATGCTGGGACCAGGCTTGAGATCGCTCAAGTCCGACAGTGGCGGTTCATCTCCAGCGGCTTCAGGAAACACATCCAACTCGGCTTTCTCATTCACCGATTTGTCGTGCCTTTGCTGGATTTTCTTTTTTACCTCTGAGTTAGGAAGCCCATTTTGGCACACCAAGCCTCCCTGCCGCCTCCCGGCCTTTATCTCTGTTCGGTTTCCTCCGAGGCATATGCCACGCGTCTAGCCGTAACCCTCAGATGGGGTTGCAGAAGCAGCCTGGCCAGGAGAAGGCCTTTAGCCCATGTGTGGAACTTGGTGTGAAGAACAAGCTCCTTGCTCTGGCGCGGTCTCCTGTGCACCTTGCACCTGTCTGTTTGAATTCAGCACCAGCAGGGGTGACCTGAGAAGGGAGTGGGCCTCCCTGCGGGGGCCGCCGCATTTTCCCTTCTGCGTTGGAGGAGGCAGGGATTCGTGTCAGTCGGTGGCTTCAGGTGCACACCTGGGCCTTCGACCTCAGTACGTGGTACTCGCACTGCAGGCTACGATCAGGTCGTTGGCTAAGGTGCTAACTGTGAGACTGGAATGGAATAATGATTACGTCACTGGGCTCCCACGCAGTCAACTGCGGTTCAAATCTTGGACCCGGCAGCTTAGAACTCACACCAGGGCGCATGTGCGTATGAGCCCAACATCCGAAGAGGAGAATGGAGAAGGGATTGCGGTGTGGCCATCCCCCTGGAGGGTGATTTCTCTCTTTCTGTCTCTTGCGTGAGCCACACACACCCTATAGCAAACATCTTTCTTAAAAAATAAAAGTAAAGGTGCTGATTGTTTGTCGGAATTAACCGAAGCATTTTTCAGCCCTGGTAGTTCGGGGTGGCATTTTAATCCCAGCTTCCGACAAGTGTCTGTGCCCCCTCCCGCACAGTGGGGTGGGCTAGTGTTAACAGCTCCAGAGCAGAGAGTGTGGGATGGCAAGTCTGTCCTGGAAGGAGGCCACGATGTACCTCACAATCAAATTTCAGTTCCTGGAAGGATTATTCATGTCTCGGTAGCTCTTCACAAATAAATGAAAGTAGCCTAAAATAGCACGTTTTCCATCCGTTCTGAAAGTCAAAGATACCCTCTTTGTTACTAGGATAACCACTTGGGTTTACGCTCTTTTTGAAGAACATAGTAGACTATACGGACCAGTCTGAACATTTTCAGAAGCTGTTTGTAATTTTTACTTTGAGAGGACTTTTGTGTTAGGGGTGACGACAAGCCCCACTGTGGGTGTGAGTGTTTGCAGGGGTACGCTGGGTGCAGAGAGGCCCATGCTGGCCCAGTGCGTGGCCCCTTGCAGGAGCCTTGCTGTCACACTGCCCAAGTTACTGCTCATCTGTCACTTCTGAGCCGCTGGTGGTTAACATCTGTTACACACACACACACATACACACACACCAAAGAGGAGACTGGCCAAAAAAAAAAGTCTTCATAGGTTTAGGGAATAGTTCATTGTTGTTAACTAACGTGAAGTGAAGATTTAAGCTAAACTAAATCCTTTAAGGTTCCGTTTCCGTGAACGATGCCACCACATGCCTCGTGGTACACGACACGCTCCACACCCTTCTCGTCCTGCCCCCTGACCTGTCCCCAGTCTGGCCCGTCTGGCTCCCTGTGGCCTCTCAGCCCAAACTGCCATCGGCCCTCTCAGGCTACGTGACTCCAGCTTCCTGCCCTTCTGCGTACACTCCCCTGCAGCCAGAAAGGCACAGAGCTGCTCTTGGAAGCAGTGACTGTCCCCAAACCTCGGCACCTGCAGCAGTCAGGCCTGCAGCCCTTCTCCTGCAGACCGGCTGCTCCCAGCATGCCTCGCTCCCTCTCTAACCTCCCGACCTGTGTCTCTCCACGTGGGAGGCTCGAGGCTCTGCTCAGACGTCCTCACCCTCAGGAAGCTTCCTTGGTCACCTCCCTACCCACGCCTAGGGCCAGATCCCCTCCCAGAGTGGATCGCACTTGGGGGTGAGTTTTGACTCCTGCATTAGACTACGAGCCCCAAAGAGCGGCCCATGATCTTTTGCTCATCCTTGCATCCAAAACATGTCTCAGAGTGCTTTGCAGAAAGTAGTTGCTCAATAAAATCTTGTTCTATTGGGGGCGGCAGGTGGTGTGATGGTTAAGAGATTGGACTCCCACATGATCGACCCCAGTTCAAGTCTTGGACCTGGTGGCTTACTGTCTCACTTCCCTTTCTGTCTCTGGTCAAATTTAAAAGTAGTAACAAATAAAATGAAATAAATAAATACTTAAAAAATCTTGTTCTGTGAACGAATCAGGTAGTTGTGAAATGCAGCCCTTTTCTACCCTCGTGGTTGGTAGTGAGGGGACAGGGAGTAGGTTTGTTTGTGTAGGGGCACGCCGTAGTTGAGTTACACACTCTCAAGTGAGACGTGGCCCAGATTGGGGGGCACAGCGGTGGTCTAGGGGCTAAGGTGCTGGACTCCCACATGGCTGACCGTGGTTTGAGTCCAGACCCAGCAGCCTGAAGCTCACACCGGGTGCATGTGCGTGCGTACCCAAGATCCTGAAAGAATAGAGGAGAAGGGATCGTGGCGTGACCATCCCCTCGGGGTGATTTCTTGCTTTCTGTCTCTCTGTCGGGGGAGTAGAGGTTTGCTTTCCCGTTGACCTTGAACTTTGATCATCATATCCAAAAATCATTTTAAAAATTTTGGTCTGCCCCTGGGAAAAACGATTTATTTATGAAGGTATGTGTAGTAATGAGCAGATCTGTCTTTTAATTTTGTTATAGGGCACATGCACTCTGGAGAGAGAAGGTGTTAAGGCTCTGGGGGAGGGGTGTGTTTGGCGGTGGCCATGTTGCAATCCCTTCTCCTCTCGGGATTTTGGATGCACAGACTCACACTTGACATGGTTTTGAACCACGTAGTCAGCCCGTGGGATCCACCACAGCTGGCCCATAAAAAAGATGTCATAGATCAGTTCTTTTACGAATCTGCGAGTACGGGCCTTTGCGCCAGCCGTGTGGGAGTGACCCGGTGTCCCCTCTTCCTTCCGTAGGCTCTGGCAGCCAACGCTGGAACGGGATTTGCTGTCGCGGAGCCTCAGATCGCCATGTTTTGTGGGAAGTTGAATATGCACGTGAACATTCAGACCGGGAAGTGGGAGCCCGACCCCACCGGCACCAAGAGCTGCTTTGGAACAAAAGAAGAGGTGCTGCAGTACTGTCAGGAGGTACGAGCACGGCGGGGCGCCCACCCTCGTGCCAGGCTCGACTTTCGAGACCAGTCTTAAGACCGTCTCTGTTCTGGCTCAGATTACCTTTTGGGTTAGAAAAAGGAGGTCTGAGCTCTTTGGGCGTTTCCCCGAGACCAGTACTGAAGGCCGGTGTGGTCTGAGATGGCACTGCACGATGTCCCCGCAGACTCGCCCCACGGGCACTTCAGCTGCCGAACCCGGTGGCTGCTCTAACCTCCCGACCTGTGTCTCTCCACGTGGGAGGCTCGAGGCTCTGCTCAGACGTCCTCACCCTCAGGAAGCTTCCTTGGTCACCTCCCTACCCACGCCTAGGGCCAGATCCCCTCCCAGAGTGGATCGCACTTGGGGGTGAGTTTTGACTCCTGCATTAGACTACGAGCCCCAAAGAGCGGCCCATGATCTTTTGCTCATCCTTGCATCCAAAACATGTCTCAGAGTGCTTTGCAGAAAGTAGTTGCTCAATAAAATCTTGTTCTATTGGGGGCGGCAGGTGGTGTGATGGTTAAGAGATTGGACTCCCACATGATCGACCCCAGTTCAAGTCTTGGACCTGGTGGCTTACTGTCTCACTTCCCTTTCTGTCTCTGGTCAAATTTAAAAGTAGTAACAAATAAAATGAAATAAATAAATACTTAAAAAATCTTGTTCTGTGAACGAATCAGGTAGTTGTGAAATGCAGCCCTTTTCTACCCTCGTGGTTGGTAGTGAGGGGACAGGGAGTAGGTTTGTTTGTGTAGGGGCACGCCGTAGTTGAGTTACACACTCTCAAGTGAGACGTGGCCCAGATTGGGGGGCACAGCGGTGGTCTAGGGGCTAAGGTGCTGGACTCCCACATGGCTGACCGTGGTTTGAGTCCAGACCCAGCAGCCTGAAGCTCACACCGGGTGCATGTGCGTGCGTACCCAAGATCCTGAAAGAATAGAGGAGAAGGGATCGTGGCGTGACCATCCCCTCGGGGTGATTTCTTGCTTTCTGTCTCTCTGTCGGGGGAGTAGAGGTTTGCTTTCCCGTTGACCTTGAACTTTGATCATCATATCCAAAAATCATTTTAAAAATTTTGGTCTGCCCCTGGGAAAAACGATTTATTTATGAAGGTATGTGTAGTAATGAGCAGATCTGTCTTTTAATTTTGTTATAGGGCACATGCACTCTGGAGAGAGAAGGTGTTAAGGCTCTGGGGGAGGGGTGTGTTTGGCGGTGGCCATGTTGCAATCCCTTCTCCTCTCGGGATTTTGGATGCACAGACTCACACTTGACATGGTTTTGAACCACGTAGTCAGCCCGTGGGATCCACCACAGCTGGCCCATAAAAAAGATGTCATAGATCAGTTCTTTTACGAATCTGCGAGTACGGGCCTTTGCGCCAGCCGTGTGGGAGTGACCCGGGGTCCCCTCTTCCTTCCGTAGGCTCTGGCAGCCAACGCTGGAACGGGATTTGCTGTCGCGGAGCCTCAGATCGCCATGTTTTGTGGGAAGTTGAATATGCACGTGAACATTCAGACCGGGAAGTGGGAGCCCGACCCCACCGGCACCAAGAGCTGCTTTGGAACAAAAGAAGAGGTGCTGCAGTACTGTCAGGAGGTACGAGCACGGCGGGGCGCCCACCCTCGTGCCAGGCTCGACTTTCGAGACCAGTCTTAAGACCGTCTCTGTTCTGGCTCAGATTACCTTTTGGGTTAGAAAAAGGAGGTCTGAGCTCTTTGGGCGTTTCCCCGAGACCAGTACTGAAGGCCGGTGTGGTCTGAGATGGCACTGCACGATGTCCCCGCAGACTCGCCCCACGGGCACTTCAGCTGCCGAACCCGGTGTCTGCCCCAGGGAATGCGTTGGGGCTGAAAGCCTGCTGCTTTTGTCCTGCAGTACAGACTCCTCAGGGCCAGAGTGTACCCCATCGGGACCTTCGTGTTCATGGCGGAAGTCATGAGCGTTTTGGCTCACGCGGGGCGAGCGTGGCGATACACGGCTGGCTAGCGACTGTCCCCCTGCAGGTCCATTCACTGTGCGTTTTCTTCTTCTGGACAGATGTACCCAGAGCTGCAGATCACAAACGTGATGGAAGCCAACCAGCCCGTCAGCATTGACGACTGGTGCCGGAGGGACAGAAAGCAATGCAAGAGTCACATCGTCATTCCCTTCAAGTGCCTCGGTGAGTGTCCCCCGGTGACAACTGTATCTGCTAAGAAGCGGGAGCTGCTTGAATTTATGCAGGGCTTTCTCCTGTGATCATCTGCTGCTTCCTAGTGACCATGGTTGGCTTCTGCTCAGGGGTTTCTAGCTCTGGTTCCAGGTGGGCACCTCCCGTCTTTGGGGGCTGGACCTTCCCATGGTGTGAGGACTAAGAGTGACCCTGTGGGACAGGCCACTGTGCTCCCTGTGGCGGCTGAAATGGCTGCTTCACAGTGGCAGTAGTGAGGGGTGCCGCGAAGAGCAGCCCCCGGGAAAGAACCTCTGCCCCCGCTCCCTGTCGGACACGCATTCACACCGATACTCAGACCAGTGTAGATGCAGCCGTCCAGATTTGGTCACACAATCTCAAAAGGGCAAGACGGTTGATTTCGGATTATCCGTGCTAGCTAGCGTTAATGTGGACATCTGGGCGGGCCCGTCCGTAATCTGATCTGAGCCACTAATTTAACTTACTCGCCTCCCTCCCTTCATTAAAACCTTTGCTTTAATTGCAGCTAGCAGTAGAATGTAGCAAGGAGCAGTACCCTAATGAGAGGACAGTCAGACCTGAGTAAGAATAGTTGTGATGCCCGGCAGTGAGCTTTGCTTGAGAGCCACTCAGTAAGAGGGAAGAGGGACGGTGTGTGAACCCCCACTGACCGAGCAGCTCACAGCCACGGGAGGCTCCTTCAGAACGGGCGGCGGTGCGGTTTGAGGATGTTCTCCTGTCACATTTGGCTCGGAGAAGCCCCTAGTAGGGGTTTCATTCTCTCCCTCCCAAATTCTCAAACTGTGCGATGAGCTGACTCTTGAGCGTTTGTAGACGGCGCACAGAAATGCTCGAGCCCTTCCTCCTCTCGTGTCATCACCTCTGAAGTCTTGTCCTCCTGCTCGCCTGTGTCGCTCAGAGCTCCAGTGCCCACGCAGACGGAGGGGACCTGGGACCTCTTCTGTCCTCCCGTTACCCAGTTGTTTCATGCCCAGCTCTCAAGCCAGCCTGATTCTTATGTCCTAAAGATGGCCATTCCTTGGACCCCCGCCCACACTAATGTTGGCGGGGACTTTTCTTTTCTTTCTTTTTTTTTTTTTTTTGGAGAGGTTTTCGCTATAGGGCGCGTGCGCTTGCCAGACAGACAGAGAGAGACATACAGAAGTCGAGAAATCCCCCCCTAGGGGGGATGGTTACGCCGCAATCCCTTCTCCTCCGTTCTCCTCTCGGGCTCTTGGGCATGCACGCACATGCGCCTGGCGTGAGCTTTAAGCCACCGGGTCCAGGACGCGAACCGCGGTGGACTACGTGGGAGTCCAGCGACATAGCCATTACGCTAACTGCTGGTTCCCAAGGGACTTTTATTTTCAAGGGAGACACGGTCACAGTTGGGGGACTTTCTCCGAGCTGCTGTGCTCGCAGGCGCAGGGTGGCTCCTCAGGAGGTCATCGCTTCCCTTTTGATAACCTCGTATCTCGGGAGCTGTTTTCAGTCGTTCCTCTGATTAAGAAAGCAAGTGCCCCGTGAGTGTCGCTGCGGGAGTCAGGGTGCTAGCCGGGGCTGACAGCAGTGGTAGGCACAGTGGCAAGTGGCACGGCCTGGTGGGACAGACCCTCACGCTGTCGTCGCCCTGGGGCTGCTGCAGCATGCTCGCCGTGGCCAACAGTGGCGCTCACGAATGCAAAGTGGCACAGTTCTTTTAGGACGTCACACGTGTCCATCTGTCCCTTGTCGTGGTGGGAGTGTCACCTGGGTGTGGGAGGTGTGCCAGGGTCAGGACCGCCTGAACCTCAGTAGAACACCTCCATTTGCTGGGTGTTTTGTCGCCGGGCCAGGTGTGAACAGGAGCCGGGAAGTGAGTCTAGGAGTATTGGTCATGAGCGTGCGGTCACGGGGGTGGCCAGGTGTACACATGAGCAGAGCCCCGTCGTGTGGGACTACAAGGGGACCACAGTAGGGGACACTGGGAAGTCCCCGGCCTTGCAGCTGTGAAGCACAGTGGGTTGCGTGTCTCTGCTGAGAGCTGTGCCGGTCGGCCTCGGGGGACACAAGACAGATGGCAGCCAACCTAGATGAGACACTCCTGTCACACCTCGCTGTGACAACTAGGTCGTTTCCTCCTCGGGCCCACCCAGCATCCCTCCTGACTACGGCTCTCTTTTCCAGTGGGTGAATTTGTAAGTGATGTTCTGCTAGTTCCAGAAAAATGCCAGTTTTTCCACAAGGAGCGGATGGAGGTGTGCGAGAACCACCAGCACTGGCACACGGTCGTCAAGGAGGTGAGAGGGGGCGGAGAGGCCGTGGTGGGTCCGCCCAGCCTCCCCACACCGAGAACCGTCTCGTGGCCTCCTTGGCGCCCCCTCACCCCCAGGGCACCGAGTCCTGTGTCCTAACTGGAAAGTGTCGGGGGCAGGCCGGGGGAGGAAGTTGAGGGGCCCAGAGGCTGCCACGCAGGGAGGCCGTGCCACCCCAGGACTGTAGAAGGAGCTGCTCACTGGCAGTCTGGGCCCAGGTGCAGACAGAGCTGGGCACCGCTCCGTCCTGGGGCGAGGGAAGCCTTCCTCGACCCTCCAGGGAGCCGGCCTTCCTGGGTCAGACTGCGGTTGTGGCTGTCCCAGCGATGAACGGGGTCAGCCCCGCCTGCCCCTGACAGGCTCGTGTCACTAGAGGATCCATTGTTGATCATGTCCAAGGCCGTGTCTCCAGTGTTTGGGGCCCCGGTGACGTTCTCTGCTGTAAGTTAAATAACTGTAAATCTTCGTAGAACGACATGACAACCTTTTGACCAAAGACGTATGTGTCCGTCAGAACATCGCCTGGTGGCCTGATTAGGGCTTTTTTCACATAAAGCCTAGGGGCCGGGGAGCCTGGCCAGGCTGACGAGGCTCTTCCTTTTTTTTCTCTTCCGACTGCTCCGCGGTCTCTCCTAGGCATGTCTGACCCAGGGGATGACGCTGTACAGCTACGGCATGCTCCTGCCCTGCGGTGTGGACCAGTTCCACGGCACGGAGTACGTGTGCTGCCCGCAGACCACGGTCATCGAGACTGCCGTGTCCAAGGAGGACGAGGACGAGGAGGACGAGGACGAGGACTATGATGTTTACAAGAGGTGAACTCTGGCTGGTCCTGAGCCGTGGAATCTTTCTGCCTTAGTGAACGTGGCTGCTAGCGGAGTCTTCCGGGTCCACCGGGCGTTCCCCCGTTATGCCAGAGCCGCCTCTGCTGGCATCCCCTGGCCGTGGCCCATTGTGGGAGTCCCTGTGACCCTGGCCGTGCAACCTCGGGGACCCGGTGCCCTCTGTGCAGCCCAATGCGTGGACTCCGTGGGTGGTGGCACGGTCGGCGAGGCGGGCTTGCTTCCTGTCTCTGCTCTGTTTCAGAAGAGGGAGCGGATCACCCTGGTGCTTCGTGCTTAGGGGCGGGTGCTGACCTGCCCGTTTTACTTCATTCCGTTTTTCTGTGGTGGCCTCAGTGAATTTCCGACTGAAGTAGATTTGGAAGACGTCACAGAAGCAGCTGTGGATGAGGAGGAGGAGGAGGAGGAAGAAGGGGAGGAGGTGGTGGAAGACCGAGACTACTACTACGAAGCCTTTAAAGGAGATGACTACCACGAGGAGAACCCCACGGAGCCCAGCAGCGATGGCACGATGTCCGAGCAGGAGATCGCGCACGACGTGAAAGGTAACGCACGTGCCCCGGCCGGCCGCCCACGTGGGGTACCGCGTAGCCCTTTGTGTCATGTTGATGGCAGGTAAGTCCCAGAAGGCGAGGGGATCCACACCACAGCACCGTGCCGCCGTCACAGCGGGCAGGAGGCGTGGAGGGCACCCAGACCTGAGATGGAGAGCAGAGTGTGCGTTCAAGGGTTTCATCAGAGAGCGGGACTGAAGAGCAGAGGAGGCAGCGCCCCCTTCAGGATGCTTGAGCCCTGCTTTCTAGCATGGAAAACAGTCGCTCCCTGGGCTCTTCTCCTGCCTGTGCCCACAGTGGCTGCCCTGTGTCCAGGATTTGCAGCTGGGGGACTGGAACTCAGTACCTGCGGGTCTCAGAGCAGAGCTGCAGTTTTCCTCTCACCCATTTAAAAAGGGGAGGGTGGGGACCAACAGATGGCGTATTGGTTACGTCATTGGACTCCCCCATAGTTGACCATGGTCAAGTCCTGGATCTGGTGGCTTAAAACTCAGGCCGGGTATGTGTGCATGTGTGCCCAAAATCCTGAGAGGAGACTGGAGAAGGGATTGCCGCGTGGCCAGCCCCTCCCCCCCGCAGGTGATTTCTCGCTTTCTGTCTCTCTATCTCTCCGTCTCTCCAGTGAGTGCACGTGCCCTATTGCCGAACTCTCTTTTAAAAAGAAAAATAGGAAGGGTGCCCCTGGGCCATCACATCGCCCTCCAACTGTGAAACCAATTGGGACTGAATGGTCCCTTAGGACCCAGCGGGAGGTTGCTCAGCCGGTCACCCTGGGGGTGTGGGGCTGCGACCAGCTCGCTCCTCCAGCCACTTCCCCATGCAGAACAGCCCTTGCACCTGCCTGGCCTCCTTCGGGCCTCGAGACCACGAAGTTGACAAAGCGGGCAAGCGTCTCCACCTTTCAGGTCTGAAAGGGGAGGCCCGAGGGGCTCCTCCCTGGCAGCCCCCACGTCATCCAGACTCCAGCAGTACCCAGAGTGCTTGTCCTTATTCTTAAACGTCCGTGTTACAAGGAGGGTGACGGTGTGCCCGAGTGTGACGAGGCCGGCCAGGGCCCCCCCTCCGCCCCGCAGCCCACGCCCGCACCGGCCGACTGCAGCGTGAGAAGCCTTCGAAGCGCGTGCCGTGCCCTGCTGACGCTCTGACGTTTCCACAGCTGTCTGCTCCCAGGAGGCGATGACGGGGCCCTGCCGGGCCGTGATGCCCCGCTGGTACTTCGACCTCTCCAAGGGGAAGTGCGTGCGCTTTATATATGGCGGCTGCGGCGGCAAAAGGAACAATTTTGAGTCTGAGGAGTATTGTGTGGCTGTGTGTAAAGCGCTGAGTAAGTCCCGCCGGGCATTGGCCCCGCGCAGCAGCACTGTCCTGTCCAGCCTCCGTCCCCGCGTCCTTGTGGCCGCGTCTGTGTGGTGTGCCCTGGGCCAGGTGCTCGCTGTTGGTCGTCTCGTCCCCTCTCTGTGCTTGCCGGGCCCAGGCTTCCTCCCCCTGGGCTGTCGCCGCCTGGTTTTCCGTGCCCATGCCCCTGTGTGTGTGGTGGCTGTCGGTGGTGGCGGGTGCCAGTCTGGTCACGGTCAGCACCGCGAGGGCTCGTTCTTTCTCATCTGACCTGGGAGGCCACGGGCTCCGGATGCGGTGGGAAGGCCAGGCCTTCGGCCACCTGGGCCAGGGCACCAAGGAAGCTGCCATCCCCATGCTGACCTTGGCTTCTCATTCTGGTCGCGGAACTGCCTGCCGCTGACACCCGTGACACGGGGCTGACAGGACCCCTGGCACCAGGAGTACCGTGGGAGCTCAGGATGGAGGAGCTTGCCGTCTGCACCAGGGCAGAGACTGTGGCCCCCCGTGTCTTGCAGTGCTGGGTCATGCAGAACTTCAGAACGGGGTTTCTGCTCTGTGTCATTTGGTGTCCAAGGGTGTTCAGGAGACCCAGGTAGAAAGAGAATGTTCCCTCCTCGTGGCCACCCCCCCTGCCCCCGAGGCCCTGCGCCCACGTGCAGTGACCCTGCGCCAGGAGAGTCCCCCGAGCTCATGCGACTCAAGGTCGCCGCCCGCCGCTGCTGTTTGCGCTCAGAGTTTGGCTGTAGCCCGAGCGCCTTCACGCTCCCGCTTTCTTCCCCAATGGGAGGTTTTCAGACCCGACAGCACATGGCTGCCTCCTGGGCTCCGGCCCTACTGCGCCACGGGGAGGCTGTTCTTGGTGGATACGGCTGAAAAGGTGGAATTAGTGAGTCCTTTGGGAATTGGCGAGTGGACTTTTCTAATTCAGGAAGGATTTAGATAGACAAAATTATCGTTTCCTACTTTGTAAAACTACTCACACTGAGGACGAGCACTGTTTGGGGTTGGAAACTGACGAGTCAAGGCCTTTCAAGAGCTTGCTGCATGTAGCCCAGGTGGTTGATGGCCGGCCACGCTGCCACGGTGGGTCGGTGGAGTGCTGTTTCCCGTGTTCGAGGGGAGGCTTGCCGGGAGAAGTAGCGTGCTTGGGTCCTGGCAGGGTCGGCTGGGGCCTCGGACAGCCTAGAAGTGCCAGGTCTCAGTGCTGACATGCATGTCCTCTGCGGGGTCTGAGGCAGAGGGACTGTGGCTGGTCGTGTCACCCAGAAGGCTGTGGTTCTGGCCTGAACCCTTTGTGTCAGCAGAACCAGACCTCCAGGCTTGTGGTCCCTGTCCCCTTTTTTCCCCAGGAAGGGAGGAGGCCACTGGGTGAAGTCCTGACCCTCACTCCGCCTTCACGGGTCTCGGGGAACGTGGTTTGCTAAGGCATATGCCCTTATTCAGCTCATCCAAAGGTGGATGTTGGGGTCCTTTTCAGACTTAAGCAGGACTCAGAGATCCTTCACAGGCGTTTAGTTGTAGCTTTTAGGGTTGGCAAATAAGAGGGACAGATGAGAGGCGCTCCGTCAGGGACACTGGAGTGGCGGCTAGCTCAGGGCCGTCTTCGTGGCTGAATGGTCATCCCGGCAGGCTGACCGCTCCCTGTGCGTGCCCGGGCCGGGACAGAGCACATCAAGCAGGTGGGTGACCCAGGGGATGACGTGTGTCCTCACCTGGGGGCTGCGGGCGAGGGCTGGTAAGAACGCTTGGGCTGCTGAGCCTCCCTGTGGGTATGTCTCGGGGAGATTTGGCAAAGCTTCCCGTCTGGGTCCCTTCCCTCAGGCAGTGAGGCGAAACCCGCGTGCAGATGCGCACTGACCCGGGCCAGCCAGAGCGTGGGCCTTGGCGGCAGAAGGACCTCAGTTTCAGCGGGCTTGCCAGGGCCCCCGGGGCGGGCACCCGGTCAGTGTCATGGATCACGAAGCCCAAAGGGGCCTTGGTATCAGTGGGGTGTCTTTGTCCAGTTCAGCAACCTCATGTTACAAACCTGGGCGGGGCCAAGGGCCCCAGTGATGATGAAAGCTTGGAATCGTCACTAGAGTGTAGGTAGCCAGAGGGAAGAGGGCCCCGAGTCCCGGGCTCCATGATGGTGTGCACGTGCCCTGCGGGTCCTGCCTCACCCTCGCTCTGTCAGATGCAGCAGGGCATTGCAGGCAGCTCACCAGGCTCTGCCGCAAAGCAGGCCGTCCCCCCTGCAGCCAGAGCAGGTGCCGCTCGGTGCTGGAGAAGCCAGGGGACCGTGCCCGGTAGACCGCCATATTAGCGTGCCGCGGTGGTGAGCATGGTGTGAGGAGGGCTGCCCGCATAGTGGAGCGGAGCAGGTGTGCAGACGGCAGCCCTGCGTGGAGCGGCATGGGCCGTGAGACAGCTGTGCCCGCGCTGCAGGTCCTAGCGCTTCCCTCGAGAGTGCAGCGCAGGCAAGCCGGACCCCGAGGGAACGCCCTCATGCTTTCGTTTCAGTGCCCCCCACCCCTCTGCCGACCAACGACGTGGATGTGTACTTCGAGACCTCCGCGGACGAGAACGAGCATGCCCGCTTCCAGAAGGCCAAGGAGCAGCTGGAAATCCGGCACCGCAACCGGATGGACAGGGTGAGCCTCAGGGTGCTTGGTGCTGGGCAGTGTGGGCTGGGCGTTGGGGCTCCGGGGCAACCAGTGATGTTGCCCCTAGACAGGCATGCTAGTGTGAGGACGGGAGGGTCTGGGTGTGCCAGTGGAGCCAGCTTCCAGGAGGACTGGTCCGGCCTCCTGCCCCTACACCCACAGGACGGACTGAGGGCTCCCTGTGCTGGTGGAGCCCTTCCCAGGACCGCGGAGCCCTTCCTGGGACTGTGGTGCACTCAGGGCTCTCTCTGCTCTCTCAGTTTATGTCATTTAAAAAAAAATTATTTATTTTATTTTTTCATTCATTTATTTTTTAATTCGACCAGAGAGAAACAGAGGGTGAGAGTGAGAGAGAGAGGAAGTCAGAAAGCAAGCCACCAGATTCAGGACTCGAACCCTGGTCAGCCATGTGGGAACGTTCAGCGCCTTAACCACCACACCACCTGCTGGTCCCCCGTCGTCATTTTTTAAAGCCATTTTTGCCATAGGGCACATGCACCAGAGAGAGGCAGAGACAGTGAGAGGGAAAGTAAGTCATCCTGGGGAGATGGCCATGTCGCACTCGCTTCTCCATTCTCCTCCGAGATCTTGGGCACGCAAACACATGCGCCTGGCATGATTTTAAAGCTGAGATTCTACCTGCAGTTGGCTGTGCGGGACTCCAGTGACGTAAGTGCTATGCCATCTACTGGCCCCAATTTTAAAACCTTTCACCTGAACAAAAAAGATCTCCCTCCTGACAGGGAGCACGCACCTGAGAATGAGGGTGGAGGGGGAGGCGCACCCTGCCGAGGGTCTGGACGCAGCCCCCATCCCCACCCTGCAGCGCTCCAGCCTGCTGTGTGCCCTGGGCACTTACGCACACGCCTGGTATGGTCCATGCCGACTGCCCGGTGTCAGCTGCAATCCACGTGGGACCCGGCCTCTCTCCAGCAGTTCCTTAGCACTGTGCTTAGGGCCAGCCTCCTTTTTGTTTTTTATTTATACTTTTTTTTCAGTTCTTCCATGAGGGAGAGACAGGCAGGCACCCCATCAGGGCCTTCATGCCGAGATCCAAGCCAGCTTTAGGCAGCCAGGGTCTCAGGCACCTGCCTCTGTGCACCCGTGTGCACGGGAAGGTGGGTCCCCTGACCCAGACCCTCCCACGTAGCCTCGGCATGATGGGGCATTGCGTTACCGGCTGGCCCGCAGAAGGGAGCTTCTATCCCTGTCTTAAAAGTGAAGCTGCATCGGGGCCAGCAGGTGGCGGGGCGGTGAAGGTGCTGGACTCCCACGTAGCTGACCATGGTTTCAGTCCTGGGCTCGCCCTTTTTCTCTCTCTCTGCCTCCAGTCAGATTAAATAATGATAAATAAAATAATTCTTAGGAAAAGGAAGGACCAAACTGCCAGTGCCATCTGCCGTGTGACAGGCTGCCATAAAGAGGAGCTGTGGGAAAGCGAGGCTGTGAGTGCGCTCCGGCCAGCTGCTGGCCCTGAGCCTCCGTGTGCTGCTTTCCCCGGAAGTTCCTTAGTACACGTCAGAGCAGCAGGGGCCCCGGATTATGCTCCTTCAGCCTGACTGCCGACTGCGGGAAAGCGAGCACGCCCGGGGTTGCAGCGCCCTCATTTGACTGCCGACTGCGGGAAAGGGAGCAGGCCCGGGGTTGCAGCGCC